ACACCAAAAGGAAAGCCATCTTTTGTGTCATCTTGTTGAAAGACAGCCATTAGCACACTCACGTTTACTGAAATAAAGTAAGACTTTCCTTGTGGGTGGGATGTGTTTTTCTTCCATGTCTCAGTCTTTGTATTTCTCATGCTCTGATCATGGCCCACCTGAGGCACTTTCAAATTTCACTGACCCCGGGAACTAATTGTCTCCTGCCAATCTATGTCCAGATAGGCAATCAGGGGTCACTAAGAGAATTCAGGTGAATCTAGGAGTGCAGCTCAGCTCTTTTTAAAAATTTTATTGGAGTATACTTGATTCACAATGTTTTGTTAGTTTCAGGTGTACAGCAAAGTGATTCAGTCATACATATACATATATTCATTCTTTTTCAGGTTCTTTTCTCATATAGGTTATCACAGAATACTGAGTAGAGTTCCCTGTGCTATACAGTAGGTCCTTGTTGGTTATCTAATGCATAGTAGTGTATGTTCATCCCAAACTCCTGATTTATCCCTCCCCCACCCCCATGCTTTCCCTTTGGTAACCGTAAGTTTGTTTTCAATATCTGTAAGTCTGTTTCTGTTTTGTAAATAAGTTCATTTGTATCATTTTTAAAAATTAGATTCCACATATATCATGTGATATTTGTCTGACTTAGTATGATCATCTCTAGGTCCATCCATGTTGCTGCAAATGGCAGTATTTCATTCCTTTTTATGGCTGAGTAATATTCCATTGTATATATATGTACCATATCTTCTTTATCCATTCCTCTGTCTATGGACATTTAGGTTGCTTCCATGTCGTGGCTACTGTAAATAGTGCTGCGATGAACATTAGGGTGCATGTATCTTTTCTAATGCCAGCTGTGTGTATGCATATGTGGGTGTGCATACATATGTCCCGCTACCACCCAGGTTTGCCCACGCCAGGGAAAGGAGGGACACAGGATGGATATCATCAGGGAATAATATGGAAACATTTGCACTTGTTTGAAATTTATTTCTGGTATTTTTATCCTCCCTCTTCTATCTCACCCTGCCCTCAATCTGCTTGTTTAGGCAGATGATGATTGATAAGTCAATACAGTTGACTTTTGAATAGTGAAAGGGTCAGGGGTGCCACCCCACCACCCCCCAAATAATAAAAAATCCGCCTATAACTTTACAGTTGGTCCTGCATATGTGTGGTTGGTTGAATCTGGATTCAACCAACTATGGATTTCGTAGTACTGTAGTATGCATCTGTTGAAAGAAAACCCCACATACATGTGAACCTAGGCAGTTCAAACCCGTTATTCAAGGGACAACTATAGTTTTTTCTAAGCATGTTCTCGTTGACAGCAAGAAGGAAAGGCATTACTGATTTACAAAAAATATACATTTGTATTAATTCTCCCATAAAATTTGAGAGCTGGTTGTGGTATAATTGCTAACAAAAATTATACTAAAAGCAAAGGTCATCTTTGCAAGTCAGTGGGTTTATAATTAGTTCACAAGAACGGTGCCTTTAAATACCTAATTAACTTAAAGGCCAAGTCCTCATCTAGGCAAACCATCTCTCTATCCTTTTTTCTCTGGAGAGTGGAGGTGGTAGCCTTTCCCTTCCACCTGCAGTCCTCCCAGGAAATATTTCAAAGTCTGCCTGCTTCACTGTGTCTGTGCCAACCTACAGAGCGTTGTTTTGCTACAGCGATCACCAAAGCCACTTCTCTTGAAAGCAAATGGCCATGCAATAAGTTGCATTTGCTTTCCCATAAAAATAAATTGACATAATTTGATCAAGTCTTCTTTCCAATTTAAAAGGACATGAAAATAGTCTACTGAATGAGGGCACATGCGGTAATATGTACTTGAGTTGAGCACATCACTAATATCAGCAGAAAGGTAACTAGTAATCAGCTTAACTGCTTTGCCCATGAGAAGAAAATGAAAAACCTTAACCCTTGCTGGATAGAAGGTCATTGTCTAAATTAAGGTTAGTTAGCTCTTTAGTCTTTTTTACATTTCAAGTTCTCGCATTAGAATGTCCATGAAGAATTGTTATCAGAATGCTAATCCCAATTCTTAGGTCTCCTGGAGGCACACAGGGTCTTCCCATTAGCAACAAAAGTGTGACGTTGCCTACGTATCTGGTAGTGTTTGAGAGATTTCCCAAATAACTGAGAGAAACGAACTTTCATCACAGAGTTCAAATATTTAATGACAAAATTAGAGTTTGCTGTATTAGTGAATCACAGAGCAGGTGTTACTTGTCTCTGAAAGGAACAAAAACGATATTTGACATCTTAGGGAACTTCTGAAGAATTAATAACTGTACAACAGACATCAGCAGTGTCACAATTCTAAAATTTAAAAGCGAAACCTATCTTTAATATCCTTTATTGAGGGCATTCTGTAAATATTTTTACATAAATGCATAACCTTTGTTAGCCACAAAAGTAGTAGTATGACAGATTTCACTGTAATTTTAAGTCTAACACACAATCTTTATTTTTTCAGAGCTTAAAAAAGTTAACTACTGATCTTGTTACATTTTACAAATACCTTCAATATGAAACATTAACCTGAATCACTGTCTACTTCCTGTACACAGGTACCTAATAGTACTAGGGAAGAATACTACAGCTACATTCCAGGAAGAAGTGAGAACGCTGGGAAGTCTCTTTCCTTTACGAGTTGTCAGTACAATTTAAGAAATCCTTCACTGAAATGTAGTATTTCCAAAACTCAATAGTGAGGTGCAGAAATGAAACAAAGAAATTAAATGTATTTTAGGAAGCCACTGAATTGGTCCCAAATAATGTGAGTCATTTTAGCAATTTTCTTTAGGTTAGATTGTATTAATATTTTGTATTGAAGCACCTTCTACAAAAGGATAGCAAAGAACCTCATGTACGTCATCACAGGGCTCGCTCCTGTGCAAGAAGTCAGGAGGTCCGGGAGGGACTGGGGTTGCTGTTTGGCCTCTTCTGTGGGCAGAGGCCTAGGTAGTAGGACTTGAACACAGGGAGGTCAAGGACATGACCACAGTCTGGAAGCAAATCAATAGAGGAAGGTAAAAACAATGCAGATAGGCTTTCTTCAAATCCAGGACATTTCCAAGAAGACTTAAGTCTAAAATAGATAAGCAGAGAGTGAGGAAAGAGGGCAAGATGTGGAGTACTTATACTTACGAAGGGTAACTCTCACAAGTCTACCGGAGAGGAAAAAAGCTCAAATTTCACAGTATGCTTATGACCTCACCCTCTGCTACTTTAGAAGCAGCTTCACAAACACTGATGTTAGATACCTGGCGACAAATTGAGTTTGGCTGATTGTCAGGGCGTTTTAGATTTACCATTTCAATTATTTATACCAACTATCTATCTGAAGCTAGAATTCAATTTGGAAAGATGAATATATCTCTGTGTGTGTGTGCGCGTGCACACGTGCATTTTCTATACTGAGGCCTGCAAAGAAAAGCTATTTGGCGTGATATTTTCAGCTTTTCTTAGAAATTGTAAATGCTTCTAATGGTGCTCACCAGATAGCAAGTTCCTTCCTTCTTTAAACTTTTAAGACACCAAAAGAAAAGTACAAAATATTATAGTACATTTATATAGTTTACCCTATAAAATTTACAGAGAGTTTTCTTGAACTGGATCATCTCCCTAAGAGGATTCAGAAATTTGTCTCTGGCAAATCCCATCTCCCTTTTGACACATAGTGACTAAGATCATTTTTCCCCACAATAGCCCAATTTTCTATCTCCCTGGGAATGCTTTTATCAGGAGAACTTAAGCTATTTAGACCAGCATAAATAATCCCAAAGTCATCATATGCCGCTACATAAGAGCCTGCAATACACATGGCCTCAATGGGTAGGAAGGAATAGAAAGAGGTCCTGAAGATCCAGGCAGCTTAAAAAAATCAGTGCATCGCAGCGGGAGGCTGAGCATGTATCTGGGATGTACAGCTTGCCTCCTTGTTTCAGGAAGACAAAGCACAGCTTTTATATTTAGCATTTTAACCTTCTAAGAAACCAAACTGCCAGACTGAAAATCCAGGCCTGTGTTGAGTGATACAAAATCAGGAGCTGTATGAACCAACCTCATTCAGTCTGACTGCAATGTAAAGGCTTCATGACTGTGCTGTTTTATGTCAGACCAGGCAAGTTGCAATTGCCATGAAATGCAGTTTGTCAAGAAACCCACACTTTAAATTAGATGAATAGCAATAACAACATCAAAACCTCCAAAAATCAGATACCAAGAACCGAAGGCCATTTCCCAAGGACATCATGAAGGCTCTCTAAACAGGCATGACTTTGTAAAAAGAGAAAAAAGATTTTAAATGTAGTATCTTTTCACATTATCCTTTACACAGACCTTTATCTGGACAAATCAATTCTTGATAAAAATCCAAGCTCTTTTCAAGACCAGCTACCGTAATTTGGGACGATGACAAAGAAACATTCATGAATGCACAGAGGTTTTTAAATGGGCTTTTCCTTAGGTCTTTAATCTCAAAATTTTATCCTTTATACGGTAATTCTAAATAATCAGCCTGGAAACAAGTAATGGAAGAATTTAAACTGTAGCTCAGAAAGTAGATTTCTATCTGTGATTGATCTGTTTTTTTGAATGCTGGTGATGGCTCATGCAAAAAGTTACTACACAAAAAGCAAAATCTAAGACTGCTGTTTCCCCTGATAAATCCAATTGTTTTTTCTAATACAGATTTGTGTCTCAGGATTTAGAATCTTAACCTTCAAATTAAGAGTACGTAAGAGATTGAGTGAAGCCAATCACTGCTTGACTTTTATTTCCAACCAGGAACAATAACATCTGACGTCACCAATTTAAAATGTCTTCCTGCTTAATATCAGGAAAAAAATACAGTTTAGACCTAGCTCAATATATCATTTGGTCCGAATTTCATATTCAAACTACTAAAAAAATAAAAAGAAAGCCTTAAAGAGAAAACACATACAGACACACGCATACACACAGTGGGGAAAAAATAAAGCTGATGCTTGCAGCATTTCTTAGCAAGATTATTAGGGAAATGTATAAACACAACACCTTTTCTCTCATATTAACATCTGAAAAGGAAAAATAACCTAAATGTCCACATTTTGGGAAAAGAAGAAGCAAGCGGAGGTCCAGAATTCTTGTAAAAACTGCTGAACAAACTTCATTTTCTCTTAAGAGGTCACCAGGAGAGGCAGTTTCTCAACATTTGTGCTTCATGGCGAGCTAAGGAGAGAAAGGGACAAAAGTAAGATGTTATCAGCAGTGGGGAGAGTTCCTTTGCTGCTCCTTTCCCACATCCGCGATGAGAAGCGACACCAAGATTCTTCTTGCTGTGGCAGATCACCATTACAGTGCACAGTGGCACTTAGTGGCACTTAGTAAATGTGCAGCATGTCCCTAAACGGTCCACTGAGCACTGCACTTGTTACTCGTCCTTACAGTATTGTTATTGGTGTATGTGTCCAGGTCAGGGAGGGTGCTACATGATGTTCCTTCATGCCACTGAAGGAGCAAATGGAAGAGCCAAAGTAGAGGCAGAACGAGTGACCTACCCCAGAAACAAAGGCCTCTGGGCTCCCAGGTTACTAGTTATCCAGGAAGACCAACACTCTCCAAATGTATTTACTGACATCTCGTGAAGTATTAAAAATCACCAACTGTAGAGAAACAAACAAGCTGCAATAATCCACGTAATATCCTGGACATTCAACCAGGTCCAAAGCACTTGACAATAGACTGTTTTACCAACCAGGACTGAACAATAGACCAAATTCAGACCTTGACTTACTGCTCCCACTGGTATTTGAAAAATGTGGTTTATTGAAATGTTAGATCTTTATAAATGGGAACACCAAATACCACTGTATCATTCAATAGCTTCCCAAGCCCAGCTGGAGCCCATGGTAATATATTTAAGGAAATGCATGCAGGTACAAAACATTAAAATTAATCTGACATTGCTTTCCTTAGCCAGATCCCTTCCAAGGAGCCCATGTACTGACGTGAAGCAGAAGGCAGGGTTGAGGCTGAACTGTGATCCCTCATGTGTCTAGAGTCTGGTATTAGGGATTAGTCCCGGAGACTGGGGCTGGAGTTACTGGGGGTAGTCACGTTGCTAAATTAATCTCTACTTGGGCAGCGTCAGCTGGAAGAGCTCCAGGTGCCTGTACCTGGTGAAGCCAGCCTAAGTGAATACCCCCAAGGACCTTTTGCAGTGCTGATGCCAACAGCCAGTCAACTGTCAGATGGTGTTTGTGAAGCCCTGAGTGTGTCCAGGCTGCTGTGCTAAGTGCTGTGGGTTTTTGCCAAGAAGTCTAACTCCTGAACTCGAAGAGTTTACAGTCCAGGAAACATGGTGGGTGGAAATGGCAGAGCCCTCTCTCTCAGATCCATCCCACTCCCTGGCCACACTCTGAGCCCCTCCACTGTATGACCTCCACTTCTTGCTCTGTCTCTAGTTTTAATACATTATTTAGCAATGTGGACCATTCAAATCAACACAGAGCTGTTAAGTGTTGTGCATAATGAATACCAACCATAAATATTTGATCAGTGCTGCTGTCCTGTTATTCACTCAGCTGTTAACCTTCAGCTAATGGGCTTTGCTAATTTACCCACAGTCATTAATCCTCAGCAGCAATCGTGTTGCTTCTCACACCAGACCCTGGTTACCTCTCCAGTGCAGCTGGGACTGGCGCTAAGGGGAGCCCCAGCCGGGCGGGGCCGTGCCAGTTCAGCTTTGCAGAAGTACAGCTGGATTGGACATTTTGCCATTTGAGGTAGTTTTGCATAAAGGCGCATCATTTCCACGCTACCTCGTTTTGTTTTGTTTTTTCTTTAACTTCCTGGGAGTTAGAAACTTTAGAATATGGAAGGCACGATGCTGTTGCTTCCCTGCTACAAATCTGCTGTATGACCTTGAGCTCGAAGTCACAATTGCTCTGTACCTCGGTTTCCTCATGTCTATAAATATCATCTCCAACTCAAATGCTTATGGATTAATGTAGATGTCAGAGTTCCTACAGAAGAGAAGTTAAAAACTTCCTTTTGCTATATTTTTGTTTTCTTAATGTTTCATGGAAAGCTTTCTCTTTCAAAGCTGTGTAAATGACTCCCATCTAAATAATAATTACAACAATAATAGAAGAAACAACAATAATAGAAAAAGTTGTTACTCATACAGGGGGTATTTTTTAAGAGGCCTGGACTCTTGAGGTCCCTTCTAGCTCAGACCCACAGGGAGTAGATGACTGTGGTAGGGACAGAGGCAGCCATTCCCTGCCAGTGAGGGAAATGCCACTCACCACTCCCTCCCCTACAAATGTGCGCTTGTGCAGAACAGGGCAGATCACGGTTCTTTTCGGTGGGAAATAGCATCTGAGGATGCCTAGGTGTGGGTATCCCTCTTGCCTGCTGACTCACCAGCCAAGGCAGGCATCAAAGCACTGCACACACTGCACTGTTGCACTTTCTGAAGCAGAGGAGAGTGAGCAGGCCTGCTCTGTGGCTGAGCTGGACTTCCCTAAGGTCTGAGACTGTACCAAGCTCATAGTTCAGGAAGGAACCACGCTTCCCAAGCCAGGCTGAACAGAGCTGGGGGAAGAGGGGTTGCAGACACATTTCCTTTGGCTCTACAGGAGTCAAGCGCCCACATGTCTTGATGGCAGGCTCCTACAAAGGTGATCCACTCACTAATGTACCTGGGTCACTGTAGGAGTCCTGGGAAAATCGAGAAAGCCAGTGATAGCCTCTTCTGTTGCAGTCCAGAACGTGTGCCCTACTCTCAGCTGAGGTTGCATGTTCTTGTTCAACCAGGGAGCCCAGAGGAACTGTCACCCAGCACTGCCTTTCTCTGTCAGGGCTCTAACAAGTGCACTGTGTCTCAACGTCTAAACACAGCCCACTCTTTATGAGTCAACAGAGCCATGCTTGGGGAGGCAGTGGTGGAAGGCCTGGGTTCCATCTCTGAACTCTCTCCTCACCGGTAGGCCTGGTAGGGGCTTGGCCAGTGAAATGACATCTTCACAGACAGCCTACACCAGTGGGACAGATCAGGAGTCCTGGTCCGTGGGAAAATAGCCACCCCTTATCTCAAGAGGTCAACCTCCTCCTGAGGAATCCTGCCCATGCTGGTGATTCATAAGCACACATCCCAGACTGGCAGTTTTAGAAAACTGCAAGTCTGGTTATTATTGTGTCTCTCTCCCACTCCCTCAAACACAGTAAGAGACACTAGCAGCCCCTTCCCCCCGCACCCTTAACGCCACCCACAGGAGAGGAAGCCAAAGTAAGTGGAGACTGCCCCCTGCCGCGTCCATCTCTATGGAAACGGGTAACTGGCTGGTACCAATCCTCCCAGTGGTCAGAGCCAGAGACCCCTGTGCCTTTGGTGGCCTAATCAGTTTCTGTTCTGACAGGTCCTGTTTGCAAGGGCTGCTCTGTGTTTAGAAAGTGTCAGCATTCAGCAGTAGGCCCTCCCACCCCCCTTTGGATGGCACAAAATCTTCACCACCAGTCCCTCCCCACCCCTGTGCTGGGATCCTCAGTCACATTTCTCCAACCCTCTACAGTGCTCATCATGTGATGGATTGGAGCAGGTTCAGCCGAAACC